CTTTCTGCCTTTGCTACCACAGTGCCCAGTTGTAACTTCACCCCACGCACCTTTCCCTTAACGCCTGAACCCGAAACTCCAAACCCTCGGCCCCCAAGCAAGCCGTAAGTATGTAGCCAAAGTACATGACTAACTACGCGGAGCATACAAAAGGGAAGGAAGGTCGGGGCAAATCTCTTGCTTTGGTGGGAGCTCGCAGACTCTGGGCGTTTAAAACAGGCCTTGGTTCACAGAGCATACATGTCAAACAGGATTGTTGGGGTAAACATCTTGTTTCGGGACTGGGGTAAGCCTACTTCTCTTGCGAAAGCTCATTTGAGCACAAGCACGTGAAAGGCCACAGAGCCCACGTTTCTATGATTGTGGCAAATCTCCTGCTTTTGGACCAAACGCATTTGAGCACATGCCTTCAACACCCATGCTTCTAATGCAAAACCTAAACTATGACCTTGGATACCTTCAGCACCCGTGCTCCAAATAAAGCTTCCCAACGAAAGACCAAATCCGCGACAAAAGAGAGAAGATAGCCTTTGAGCACCCACGAGAACAACAGAAGACTACCAACACCGACACCCATGCTTGTAATGAAAAACTCTAGACAACATGAGGTGACATCAGACACTTCACTCCCCCCTCTAATAAAGTTCCCCGGGACAAAGAACGAAACAAGTCCAGAGCTAAACCCTAAGCCCTAAGCCCACAATTGAGAGCACCGGAGTGAGGGAAAAAGGCATCCTATTTTTTGGGAAAATCGAACAGTTGTGTTTCTGGTGTCTGATTTGGGCCCACTGCAGATAGAGACGAAAGGCTGGCTATGCTAGCTTTCGTGATGTAACCCCTGTTCAAGGTATAGGGTAGCACTAAAATCGGACCCCAAGCTTTAAAACTCCTCAATCCTAAACCCTAAACCTCAACTCCTAAACCCTAAACCTCACCTCCTAAACCCTAAACCCTAAACCCCTAAACCCCTAACCCTCAACCCCTAAACCCAAAACCATAAAGAACTGGCAGGCCTGGTGCACGTTTCCCTGACCGCAGAGGCCGCGGATCAACGCCACAAAGCTCCGGGAGCTGGGTCGGGGGCCTTGTTTTGGGTTTAGGGTTTAGGGTTTAGGGTTTAGGGTTTAGGGTTTGTAGATCCTAGCCTTTTTTGGGTTTAGGGTTTAGGGTTTAGGGCTTAGGGCTTAGGTTTAGGGTTTAGGGTTTAGGGTTTAGGGTTTAGGGTTTAGGGTTTAGGGTTTAGGGTCTACAGGGCTTGTTCAGGGCTTATAGGGTTCGAATACAGTGCTGCCAGGGTTCATGGGTTTATGGGCTTGCAGGGTTCATATGGGGATTCAGGTTAAAGTTTAAGGGTCTGGACTTCAAGGGCTTGGGGCTAAGGGGTTGAAGAGCTTCGGGTTTAAGGAATTTCCTCAACTCTAAACCCTAAGCCTAAACCCTGAACAGCTTAAAGCCCCTGAAGCCCTCAAAGCTCGAAAAAAAAAACCTAAACCCTAAACCCTAAACCCTAAACCCTAAACCCTAAACCCTAAACCCTAAACCCTAAACCCTAAACCCTAAACCCTAAACCCTAAACCCTAAACCCTAAACCCTAAACCCTAACCCGCATTTAGGGTGGGCCGGATAGGCCTTGGAGGTGCAGTTTCCGTCTCGGGGCCGCAGGGACATACTGCAGAGTTTATGCCTGTAACTCCATTTACCTACAGTTTAGTAGTAACTGCCCTTAATTACTAGGTATAGCCCCTAAAACTGTAGGTAAACAGGGTCCCAGGTAGGGTTTGGGGGTTTAGGGTTTAGGACAAACCGAAAGGTGTCGGGCTTGGGGGTTCATGGTAAGCCTACACCCGACAGAGTCGAAGAGCCAACGCCCTTATGCCCTAAACCCTAAACCCTAAACCCTAAACCCTAAAACGGAGCTCTATGAACCTGGAGGCTCTCTAGACACTGAAAGCCTTACAACCCCTCAACACCCTACAAATCCAAAAGCCCTACACAACCACAATACCCTGAAGCGCCCTAGGACCCTAAACCCTAAACCCTCAACCCTAAACCCTAAACCCTAAACCCTCAACCTAAAATCCCTAAACCCTAAACTGTACACACAAGCTCAGGCCTATGAGCTCACAAGCCCTCCAACCCGAGGGTGGCTCACGATGTGCCTTCAGCCAGCGCCCGCTGGAAGCAGGAGACGGCCTGGCGGGGTTCTGGTTTAGGGCCTATTGCGTTTTATAGGGTTTGTAGGATTTATGGGGTTTAATTAATTGGGTCGCGTTTTATAGGGTTTGTAGGACTTTTGGGGGCTTAATTAATTGGGGTTTATAGAGTTTAGAGGGCTCGTCGGTGTTCTTGGGCTTTTAGGGCTTATACGGTATGCAGAGATTTTAGGGCTTTTGGGGTTTTAGGCCAAGGTTCCTAGTTCCCATCCAAAACCGAACCCTCCCACCGAAGAGGAGCCTGCTGAATTCCCGGTGTGTGGCTTGCTTTGGCCCCATGACCCCTCAACCTTAGACCCTACCTCCTTAACCTTTGCGGGCCGAATAAAACGCCTTTTGGCGAACAGGCGCCTGCACAGTGTGACGGGCAAAAAAACACCCTGCGGGCGATTTATGCTACAAGGGCATGTTTCCAGGGCTTTGTTGGGTAAATATGTGCTGATCGGACGGAGCCTATGCTGGCTCAATTCTTGCTTCTTCCTGCTCTACCTGGTCTTGGATGGAGATCAGGTGCGCCCACCGCCCCTGCTGTGTCTGCATCGGTGCTTTGTTTACACCTGCAACCTTTTATAATAGCCATGGCTTCCGCGGACTTATTGATTTTGTCAACCTTCATGACTTCCGCAGTCTTCTTGAGTTGCCCAGACGTGCCCTCGATCTTATAAGTCTTAGCCATGGTCCTCGTGAACCTGTCCGTTGTTTTGTCTGCAGAGCTTGGCAAAGAAGGTCACCCTCTCAGATGCCTTGTTTAGTGCCAAACAGCCAGGTCCTAATGTATTTACGAATGTACTTCACACAAGCCCAGGATTGCTCAACATGCCAGACCTTTTCTGGCACCGCTGCCAAGAGATCGTCTTCCCAGGAACTGTGCCACAGGCTAGCTCATGCACGACATATATGTGTGCCGTCATGTGATCTTTGTCATTGTTTGAGGCCAGCCCCGAGCCCAAGAGATTGTGGGTTCTCCTCTACAACTTTCGCTACAAGGGCGTGGTACATTATCTGGCAAGCATTGTGAAGAAGTACCAGGGTACTTACCTGAGTGTTGCAAGCTGCACGCAGACCCTAGAAACCCTTCTCGTCATGATGCTGCCCAGCACTCACCAGGTCTCGGCCAGAGCTCTCCTGCAGGACAGTGAAGAGAAAGGATTCGCTGTAAGCTAGGAACTTGAAGAGGCCCCATGGATCCGGGGATAGGAGCATGGGGCCAGCGGAGGCATCGAAAAGGGATACCTGTAAAATGAAAGCTTCTGTGCTGGATCTTGCTGCACATGGCAGACTATCCAATTCTATTACTTTGGTGCGTCAGCTAGGGGTTCTACTCCTCGCAGGCTTTGGAGCTTTGCCGCCTGCCTATGGGTGGCCCTGCTGATTCCTGCTTCAGTGCCCCTGGGTTTAGAAGGAAGTGTGCTTTGCGCAAGTGTGTATGAGTGTGTTTCGTCCTATGATCCTGAAGCATTTTGGTTTCAGCGCGGCGCTTGTAGCTAGAATGGCTGAAGCAGGGGCGGAGCCTGAGATTGCGCCTGAAGGAGCAGGGTTCTCCTTGGAGGGGCTCTGGCGCAAATGGTCCAACGATGAACGGGTTCGAGCGCTTCTGCTCAAGTCAGATTCGCTCTTCCATTGGCCATCCCTGAAAACGACAGGGATTATCACTTTCCAGAGCTTGGGCATGAATGCCTCAGTCATTGATGCGGTCCTGGATGTATGGGGGCCCCAGCTATCTGCGGCAAAAACCATCTATTTGGAGCATGCTCGGGATGAGGCAGGGTTACAGTTTGGTTTTATGGAGTTGCAGAAAATGTGTTCCAATGCTTGTAGATGTCAGCTGTTGTATGCCTGCAGGTGAGTGGGATCCGAAATCACCTCAGCATGGCGATGAATGAGCTTCGTGTCGGCGTTGACTCGGTAGTGGTCCGGGCCTTCGTGTCCTACATGGTTCGGCGCCACAATGGTAGCAAACGCAAGGTAAATTGGCATGACCATGTGTAAGCCACAATGAAGGGTATTTTTTTTTTTTTTTGGGGGGGGGTGCTGTGATCTTCGTATCCTTGTTTCAAGCCCTCAAGAAAAGGTTTTTTTTTCATCTTATAGTGTGATCCCAGGATCCCCGTGTTCAAGCCCTTTTCAACAAAATGACCACGTTTTGGCCACCTCTCAAGACCAAGCGCCGGCTTACAAAAAAGGAGCGAGAGCAAGAGGAAGCTGAGCAGTGCGATGAAGAGGCTGTGGTGCCAGAAAACGTGGATGATGATGATGATGATTCACAGGCGGTTGTTGATGATCCATACGACAGCTTGGTGGACTCCCGGCCATTGGCTGTGGCTGAGGGGGACAGCATGCTGGAGGCTGCTGAAGGGGGGCAGCCAGAAGTGGAGGCCAGGATGGCCGAGTTACTCGGATGTGGCCAGGGCTCTGTCCAGCCTGGAACCCCTGCTGGATTGTCTACGGGTGTGACAGACGAGCTCGGGCAGCTTTGCTTGTCGACCGCTAAGAAGCCCCGCGTTCCATGTGTGCCTGAGACCATTGAAATTTCGGACTCCCCTGTGCAGCCTTCTCTGCCAAAGAAGCCTATGTATGCAGCAGAGTTGGATCGGAAACGGGCACGCCTTCAAGAGTTGAAGCACCTTTAATGAATTTAATGTAGATCGGTTGCCTTGTGGTTGCTTTGTTCAGTGGTTTTTGTTTTATCGCAAAGTCTGTTCTTCAAATTGCAGGAGGGAGCTTGAGAAGCGGCGCCTGAAGGCTGCAGCCAGACCTTTGACAGCAAGTTCGGACCTGTCTGGGTGCATGGATGCCGTGGAGACACAGGTTGCCGTGGATCTTTCCCCGATTGCCAAGAATTTGGCCTCGAAGTTCAAGGCTGCAGCAAGGGAGGAGAATGCATCCGATCTCCACGCTTCCGGTTCAGGCAACTCTGTGGGGACCAGCCCTGACCATCCCGAGCCTGCGGCTGCCAGTCCCCGTGCGACAGAGCCGCCGCATGAATCTGTGGCTGCGGCCAAGGAGGATGCGTCCAATCTCCACGCTTCCGGTTCAGGCAACTCTGGGGCGCCTGCTGCTGCCAATCCCCATGTGACGGAACCGCCGCATGAATCTGTGGCTGTGGCTCCGCCAGAGCTACCGAGCGAATCTGTGGCTGCAGAACTTCTTGCTGAGCCCTATACCGATGTTTTCTTCAGCAACTCCGAGGTGACGCGTGAGGATCAGATGAAGCTTCGTGATGACCTTGTCGCTGACAGACGTAGGCAGGCTGCTGCAGGCAATGATGGAGGTGAAGGAGATGGGGGTGAAGATTTTGGACAGGCTGAGCCGACCAAGAAGCCGAAGAAGAAGCCCAGCGCCAAGGCGAAAGCCGCAGCGCGAAGCAAGGCGGCCAAAGCTAAGGCCTCGCCGAAGTCTGTGCCAAAGGCGAAGGCAAAAGGCAAGGCCAAGGCCAAGTCCTCATCGAAGCGAAAGGCAGGCAATGATGTGGAGGAGCCCTTGCGCGACACCGAGCCCTTGGAGGATGCCGAGCCCGTGGAGGATGCCGAGCCCTTGCAGGGTGGAGAGCCTGCCAAGCCCAGGAAGAAGCGAGCCAAGCAGGATGGTGAGAAGCTCACTTTCGCTGGGCGCCCAAAGCCTGGGAAAGACATCCTCGCGATCCGCCGATGGGAGGGCATAAAGAACAGCTTCGAGCTCCATGTCAAGCCTCACATCAAGTCTCCCTCCGGCCTCGAGGCTTCTTGTTTTTAAAACATATATTCTTACAAATTCGTGTGTGGACAACCAAAACGTTCCAGGGCGCCTACTGGAAGCATTGCATGGAAGAGCTCAAGGTTGATACCGATGGCCTGCGTGTGGACAAGGTCTGTAAGAACCGTGCCGAGACCTTCATGTGTTTGGAGATGGTGCAGAGACTTTTGGCTTAACTGTGCACAATCGATCAGTTTTTGTTTTTTTTTCACAACCTCGGTTTACTGCGTGGGGAGTCAGCAACTTCGGAGGCCGCTTGCGTGCGACTGACTGAAAGCGATCTCTATGTGATGGGTGACTCTGTTGAAGTCCGGGGTGAAGTGGGGGAAGGAGGATCGGGCAAACATAGCCACGCACTAGCCCCCCCCCGTTTGTAGCTACTCGCACTGTACGCCCGCTCCTCACTGTGCCCACTGCACATCTCGATCGCATGTTCCAACGGAACCTGGCAATGGCCGGGATGGGGTTATGCAGCTGGTCTCTGTGCCCTGTGCAAAAAAAATACCGTTGCCACTTATCCACAGGCATCGCAGGAAACAGGAAGCCACCTTACAGATTGCCCTTGCACACTCAGGAGAACTTACTAAGACACGCCGGTCCATCATGCTTGCCTGCACAGGTACGGGAGATGCCGCGAAGGCCTGGCCTTGTGAAGCAAATCCGATATGGGCTTCGTGAAGACGTGGCCTCAACGCAGACAGGTGCGCCCCCCCCCCCCCTGCACCCTTGCTCTTGCGCAGGGCTTTTATAGGGTTTATAATAGGGTTTAGGGTTTATAAGGGTTAAGGGTTTAGGGTTTATAAGGGTTAAGGGTTTAGGGTTCATAGGGTTTATAGGGTCTATAGGGGTTTAGGGTATGAAAGCCGAAGATGCCGAAAACCCAGTTGGCCTACACAAACCACTACTTCAGTAAACCCTACACGGGGGTTTAGGCGCTTATAGAGTTTGTATTTTGATACAGTAGGGCCGAAGGCCACTAAGTCGCATTTGAGCTTCAGCTCCTCTTGTGGGGTTTCAGATCAAGCTTCTCTTGAAACGAGGTCTTACAAACCCTAGATAATAAACCCTTATAAATGTCGACCCCTATAATCCGACAGACTATATAAACCCTTATAGGAGGGAGAATCCTTGCTTGGAGGTTCAGAGTACTTGGTAACCTCATTTGTAAGTGTAGTTATATAATATATGGTTTGGGTGTTTATCGGTTTTATAGGGGTTCGGGTTTAGGGTTGAGGGGTTTAGGGTTTAGGCTACACCCTTATAAACCCTATATAAACCCTAAACCCTATAAACCCTATATACCCTATAACCTATAAACCCTAAACTATAAACCCTATAAATCCTAAACCCGAAACCCTAAACCCTAAACCCTTTATAAACCCTATATACCCTATATAGCCCTATGTTCACCCTAAGGGTATTTAAGGGGCTTATGTGCGGGTGCTACGCTTATGGGTTACACTAAGGACCCTGAACCTCCAAGTATGCCCATAAAACTGCCTGTCTGCTGGGGCATGTGATTTTGGTCTGGTTTGATGTGTTTGCAAAGGCCGCATGCTCAGCTGGGGCGCAGCTTTCTGTTTAGATGTAGGAGAGAAAGTGAGAGGGCTGTGTGCGACATACACGGCAGCAGACACCGTATGCATGGCCCTGCGTGGCCGGAGGAACATATGTTGCAGGGATCTGACATGGGCCCAGTGGATGCCATGGAGGCTAAACCGTGCAGCATGCCTCTGAAGTACGAGACCGTGGTTCGAAGACTGGCGTGGCTGGGAGCACCCAAAGTTCTTTGTTGGCAGGAAGTAGTGTGGCCGGCTTAACGTTGAGGGCTTCGGGCTCACAGAATAGGGTTACCCGACAGAGTTTGGATAGGGCCATAAATAGGACCCTATATAAAGGCCCCATACCCAAACCCAAACAGGTTCAGGGTTCCTCCAAAACCCTACCTACCCTAAAACCTGAACCTTATTGTCAGACCCTAAAATATAAACCCCAAAGACTGGAAGACAAGAGGTTCGTTGTAGACCCTAACCGGGTTGAGGGTGTGTGTTTAGGGCGGTAGCTCCACAACCCCTCCAAACTCCCCACCCCTTGTTGCGGGGTCACCCCCCAACCCAACCCGCCCTGCCTGGCTGGAGCCCTGTTCGTTGTTTTTGTTTCTTTGCTTGTGTCGTGTGCTGCTGTGTGTGGGGCCTCCCCCCAACACCCATTGCTGTTTAAGGGTTCGGTTAAGGTTTAGGGTTTAGGGTTTAGGGTTTAGGGTTTAGGGTTTAGGGTTTAGGGTTTAGGGTTTAGGGTTTAGGGTTTAGGGTTTAGGGTTTAGGGTTTAGGGTTTAGGGTTTATATAGGTTTTAGGGTTTAGGGTTTAGGGTTTAGGGTTTAGGGTTTAGGGTTTATAAGCCATTCCAGGCGGCAGATCACTCATTCCTTTGCAAGTGACCCTAAGGGGTTTAGGGTTTAGGGTTTTAGGGTTTAGGGTTTAGGGTTTGGAATTTAGGGCTTAGGGCTTAGCGCTTAGGGCTTAGGGTTTAGGGTTTAGGGTTTAGGGTTTGGGGGGTTGTGGGGGGAGGGGTTCAATGATTGGGCCGCAGGAGGGAGGAGGGGAGGAGGAGGAGGGGAGGAGGAGGAGGGGAGAGGAGGAGGGAGGAGGGAGGGAGGAGGGGAGGAGGGGAGGAGAGGGAGGAGGGGAGGAGGGGAGGAGGGAGGAGGGGAGGAGGGGAGGAGGGGAGGGGAGGAGGGGAGGAGGGGAGGAGGGGAGGAGGGGAGGGGAGGGGAGGAGGGGAGGAGGGGGAGGGGAGGGGAGGAGGGAGGAGGGGAGGAGGGGCGGAGGGAGGGGGAGGAGGGGAGGAGGGGAGGAGGGGAGGAGGGGGGAGGGGAGGGAGGGGAGGAGGGGGAGGAGGGGAGGAGAGGGGAGGAGGGGAGGAGGGAGGAGGGGGGAGGAGGGGAGGGAGGGGAGGAGGGGAGGAGGGGAGGAGGGGAGGAGGGGAGGAGGGAGGAGGGGGGGAGGAGGGGGGAGGAGGGGAGGAGGAGGGGAGGAGGGGAGGAGGGAGGAGGGGAGGGGAGGAGGAGGACGAGAAGGGGGGGGGGGGGGGGGGTGGGGGTGTGGGGTAAGGGGGGGTTTTTGTAGGGTTTGTGGAGGGCATAAAAGGGTTCATTGCTTTAGGGTTTCAGGGTTGAAGCCAAGCCTAAAATATCAGGGAGCACCAACCCTTGTTGGAACCTCTTCAAACCCTATATATATATATACATATAAACCCTAAACCCTAAACCCTATACCCTAAACCCTAAACCCTAAACCCTCAACCCTCAACCCTAAACCCTAAACCTATATATATATATATATATATGGTAAATGTTTTAAGAACCTACCGGAGTCCTGGGTGGGGATCGGGGGACACAGTTTTGAGGACAAGAATTTGGGGGACCCCTGTTTGTGCAACATAGCCAGCCCAGTGGGCCCAGGCCTTCATCGAGATCATCGTCCTCCTCGGACATATGTCTCTTGTGACTGATCCCAGGCATTCCAGAGAGTTGGTTGTGCTAGAACTTTTTGGAGGTTCTGCCAGAGTTGCTAGATTAGCGCGGTCTTTGGGATGGGAAGCTGGTGCAGTGGACCAGAGCTACGACCGCCGTGATACCACGGATAATGTGAAGGGCAAGGCCAGTGCGCTCGACATCAATACGAGCGCCGGATTCCTGTTGCTTTGTCGAATTTACAGAGGCCTTTAAAGCTATCATGATCCTACAGAGTTCCTAAGTTTGAATGAACATCCGAGAAAGGCTTCATTGCGCCATGATCATGAGCCTAGCAATGGGTCAGGGCCTTTGCGTCCTGGGCCTGTGTTGTTCAACGTATGTCCAGACGAATGTGGGGACAAGCTGCCGATCCCTGCTTGTGCCTGGTGGCGACCCAACGAAAAGATCAGTGTACCTGGCGAACAAAATGACCTCCAGGCCTGTTCTTTACAACCCAGGTGACAGACTCCCCTCCCCTTGGGCCTTGCTGCAAATTCCATGTGCGTCACATACCCTAAACCCTAAACCCTAAACCCTAAACCCTCAACCCTCAACCCTCAACCCTAAACCCTAAACCCTAAACCCTAAACCTTAAACCCTACACCCCTAAACCCTAAACCCTATAAACCCTAAACCCTAAACCCTCATTCCTTGCTTGGCAGGGCAATGCTCTTGATTCTATTGCTCGTCGCAGTGGAGGCGGCTTACGTACTAGAGCAGCCAGGTTCGTCTTCTCTCAATCTACAAACTCGGTTTGTCTGGATGCGTAGAATACTGGAAAGACGGGGTTTTGCCGTGGCTTGGCTCGATGGTTTTTGTGATTAGGCACTTACGAAGTGTTCCCCCCTGTATATATAAGCCCTATATAAACCCTATATAAAAACCTTTACACCCCAGGCCGTCAGTCTGAACGAGTTCCAATTAGCTAAGGTCTTCAAGCAACCCATTTGGATGAAGCTGCTGGGTCACGCTTGCATGAAGAGAACAGTTCTTTACAGCTGCTCAGTAGGTATCGGGGTCCTTTCACCGCTGTCCCGCGCAAAGAAGATGTTCTTGAAATCGACAATCCAAACCTCTGTTCGATATCGAAACGCAGCTGGACAAAAGAAATGGCATGGCTCGAAACACTTGAAATCTACACAGCGCCTAGGCTGCACTTCCCTGCTACCATACTTGGAGGTTCAGGGACATACATACACACATATACATATAGGTACATATAGGTACATATACATACATATACATACATATACATACATATACATACATATACATACATATACATACATATACATACATATACATACATATACATACATATACATACATATACATATATACATATATACATATATACATATATACATGTATACAAAAATACATATATACAAAAATACATATATACATATATACATATATACATATATACATATATACATATATACATATATACATATATACATACATACATACATACATACATACATACATACATACATACATACATACATACATACACATATACATTAATACATACACATAGACATACTATACATATACATATACAGATACATATACATATACATAACATATACATATACATATACATATACATATATATATATATATATGTGTGTGTGTGTATGTATAAATCCTCTAAGTAGGTTGTGTAGACTCATGATTGGGGATATAAGTACCCATGAACCTCGAAGCATTGAATTTGTAGCTACCTAGCCACGACTGTGTATACCGACATGCTCTGTGTCAGGCTATACCCAGTCCGTTTTGCTGGCAAGCTCCTGAAGATGAAGCGGCAGTTGCTGCAGACACGGCCGATCCTCCCGCAGGCTTTTTAGTTGAAGTGGATGCAATCACGCGTTTACTCTCACGTTGTTGTGATTGGGGTTTCAAAAACTCGGGCTAGCAAGTACTATAGGGTTTATAATATAGTGTTTATGGAGCTTAGGGTTTAGGGTTTGGGGTATGGGGTTTAGAGCTTATATAGGTTAGGGTTTTATAGGCTGAGCATTTAGGGAAGCCCTTCCCAAGGTACCTCGGAGTCGAAGCTCCACGCTTCCACCAAACCCCCCCAAAAAAATTTTTCCCTCTTCAAGCGTAATGAACAAGGGTTTGGGGTTTAGGTTTGATAGGGCTTAGGGTTTATAAGGTTTCTATAGGGTATATAGGGTTTATAGGGTTTATTAGGGCCCCCAAACCCAAACAACTTCATCCAGGACCTTGGCCCAAAGAAGTTCGGACTTTCATCTTATAGTGCGGTTGTGAGACGTTCTGAAAGAGCTACTGAGCAGGGGCCACCTTTCAGGATGTCGGTACCTCTAAACCTGATAAACCCCAAACTTTAAACCCTAAACCCTGAGCCCTATAAAACCCTAAGGGCTACTGAGCAGGGCCACCTTTCAGGATGTCCGTACCTCTAAACCTTAAAAGCCCCAAACTCTAAACCCTAAACCCTGAGCCCTAAACCCTTATACACCCTATAACCCTATATAGCTCAGGTTTTCCCGAGTCAAGGGACCCTTCCTGAGCTTCTGAGAGGGCTTCCGAGCGAAGATCAATGCCTTGATTCCGAGCTCTATTGGGTCTACGACTACGCAAGAAGCAGCAAGAAACTTCAGCTGCCTTATGATCTCAAGAAGATCTTGCCTCACGCTGGCGCAGAGCTTAATTAAAAAATTCGAACCGCTATGGCAATTAGAAATTCGAACCTTTATGGAAACTCGAACCTTCATGTGGCTACGAGGCTGCGCTGGTGCAAGTAAAGGAAAGGGGCCTCTTTGTGTGTCGGGCTTGTTGGTGTAGGGTTCTTTTCAGGCCAATAGAGGGCAGGGGTTCTGCTTGATTCCTGTCTGAATGGCAGTCTTCATACCCTGATCTGGGCTTGGTAGGGCTTTCCTATAGGCTGTCACAGGGTCTTTGCCAGGCTTTTTGCGGGGCACTTTGGCTTCATGGAGCGGGGGTTCCGCAGGCGGATTCCTCTCTGATTGGCAGTTTTCTGTGTGTACTTTTGGCTTATTTGCTGTTTTTGGGGCCGATTTCTGCGGGCGTAATTTCGTGAACAACGGGCGTAATTTCCCGAACAACGGGCGTAATTACCCGTACCCCCCCCCCCAACACCTTCGATCATGTACCGTAACAGTCCTGAAAAAGCCCAATGCAACCGTGAAAGTGCCCCAAAGCAGCCCGGAAAAAGAACCCCAAGGAGCCCAAAACAGTCCTGCGTGCGCCAAAATATTTGCCCAAACAAGCCCTGGTTAAGGCCCCGTAGCGCCTCACCCCCAAGCCGTCCATGGCCTTGCAAAGCAACATGTGGAGCTCTGAGACGCTGGAGCGTGGCCTCAATGTCGCAAGGCAAGCGACTTTGTCACTCGAAGCAGATGCTGACTTCGCGGCCATGCAGGTTGAAATGCAGGCGTCTGGGTTTGTACTAGAGGTCTTCGGGCCGGGTGGAATTTTGCTTGCGGTTTTCGAAACACACCTGCAGTGCCCTAACCTGACTGATTCGATGCTTCTTGCCCTGATCTAAGTTTCCCTAAATAGACCCAAACTGCAAAACACGAAGCTGCCCTGGTTTAGGGTTTAGGGTTTAGGGTTTATAGGGTTTAGGGTTTATAAGGGTTAAGGGTTTAGGGTTTAGGGTTTAGGGTTTAGGGTTTAGGGTTTAAAAGTATACTTCTCAGGAAATCAAGCAGGAACTCTTGGAGTATGACACTATGCCGGATGAAGAGCTTCGAGAGTTAATGCTTTCTGCGGCTTTCAAGGCTCCTGGCTGTTGTCTCTGTGTGTGTGTGTGTGTGCTTCAAAGAAATGCTGTGTGGGGCTTTGTTCAGGTGGAGGAGGATTCAAAAACTTCTGCGAAGCAAGAGTGCATCTATCATGGGCATGGGGGAGAGGTGCATGGGCTCGTGACGGTTCAGAACCCAGGGGAGTGGCCCCATGATGCACAGCCACGAGATGTGTGTATGACGGAGGACATGGTACATGGGGTCCCACCAGCCAAGACTCTTATGGCGGGGGGGTCTAGTGAGGCTTTGCTAAACACCCTCGTTTCGAAACTCCAGAAAAGCCTGTCAGATCTCGACCCCTCCCAACCCATAGAGGCTGAGGATGAGTTTTTCGCGATGACTGGTGATCAGGCACAAAAGATGTGCCAAGATTTCTTGGATGTGCAGGATGCGCAGACCCTTGCATTAGCTGACACGCTGGTTGAGGAGATGCGTAAGGAGACTGGGCAGGAAGTGGAGGCAGATGATGCAATCTCGACGGCTGCTACCCAGGTCTACTCCCCTGGCCAGCTTCCTCAGGCAGTGGAGTCTGGTTGTCCAAGTCCTTCTTCCATAGGCGCTGCCGTCGAGGCCCTATATCTTGTCCCTCAGGAAGCTTCACAAGAGCTGCCAAGTGCTACCACTGAAACCCTCGGCCCTTCGCCTGTGAATGTTGTCCCACATCAAACAGAGCCAGCCCCTGCGAGCACAAACTCCCCTCTGCCGGCCCCCCCTCAAAATGGAGATGGTTCTGCGCTGCCAGCCCAGGCGATGCATGTGCCACTGAAGCAGATCCAGCACTTCACAGTGCCTGCGTCCCATCTGATGTCTGACTTCCTGGATCGGGCCTATGGTGATAGCCACCGCTCACCGCTGAAAGTTTTCTTGGGCGTGCCTGAAAGCCCGCTGCGCCCGCAGCCAAGCGCCCCAGATGCCAAACAGGCGCTGCCCCCAGCCAACCTGCCACCAGGCTTGCCCGATTCGCAGAATGGAGAGATTTCAGTGGCCCGCCCCAACACAAGCTTTCCTGCGCCAGCCACTCAGAATGGAGATGTTCCAGCCCCGACAACTCCAGCAAGCACAGGCCCACAAGCTCTGAGTTCGCCTCGAATGGCCAACCCTCCCAAGATCATTGGCTCTCCTTTGCCAGCCCTGAAGAGTGGAGATGCTTCCATGAGCCCAGCCCCGACAGCCCCCGCAAGCACAGGCCCACAAGCTTCGAGTCCAGCGACCCCGCTCCGAATGGCAGCCGAGGTCCAAGGCGCTTCTTCCCCCATACCCGCACAAGCTCCGAGTTCAGTGGCCTCACCACAACATGTGACACTCAAAGGCGCTCCTTTGCAAGTCTCAGCCCCGACAACTGCCGAGGTTCAAGGCGGTTCTTTGTCAGCCCCGACAACTCCTGCAAGCACAGGCCCGCCCAAGACCAGTCCTTTGCCAGGCCCAGCACCCACAACTGCCGTTCCCGCAAGCACAGGCCCGCCCGTGCAAGCTCCTCAGACTTCAGCAATTCCAGCCCCGGAAGTCCATCTCCCCGCAACCCCAACAGGTTCCGTGATGACGCAAAGTGAGTCGATGCAAACACCCCGCCGCTCAAGCACAGACACGGATACCAGTTCCGCATCCAAGCCAGGGGCCCCTGCAGGACTTGACGGTCTCCTTGTGGTTGATGTTTGGCCTGAGCTCATGTCCGTGCCCCCACCAGCTCTTTCCGATGCAGCAATTAAGCAAAGGTTGAGGAGGGTCTTCAAACCAAGGGCCAATGGGGACTACCTCATCGGTGAAGAGTGGAGAAAGATGTGGGAAGATCTATCAGAAGGCCGTGACAAAGTCATTGCCGTCTTCGAGAAAGCAGCCTACAGCGTGGACAGCATTGTGTGTGCAACAAGAATACCATGTACTTAGCTTACGAAAGACACTGCTGATCAGTGCCTGGTGTCTTGCAGGAAAAATTCATCAAGCGCTGCAAGAGAATATCTGAAGACATAAATGAAGAGGTGATGGAGATCGAGGGTGAGTTTTTGACAGTCCAGGACATGGACGAGCGTAAGTTCCCAGAGCCGTAGTCTCAGTAATCCCAAACCTATATGAGGATTTCCGAAAGTAAAGGGGTACCTTTCTATGTTGTGGGCGATTTCATGTAAGAAGTTCCTTATCAAATAGGGTCTATCGTGGTTACCTCTTTTCGGAAACCCTCATAGACCTTTGCGATATGTCTGCGTGCAGAGATTGTTCAATCCTCTACATGGGTGAAATGAGGCAGAAGAAGACCGGAATCTTCGCCTATTGTGAAAAACATCCACAGTTGAAGAGGTCAGGTGCTCCAAGTCAATAGGGTTTAGGTTTATAAAGTTCATATAAGGTTACATAAGTTTTATAGGGTTTCAAATAGGGTTTACAGGTGGGCAGCCAACAGTCCCAGGCTGAGCAAGCCGCGTGAGTCGGGGCTTGGGGTTTGAGAGTACGTGCCCTATATAGGGTTTATAGGATGTATAGGGGGTTTAGCGGGGTCAAGGGGTTCAGGTTTTTTTGCGGTTTATTAGGGGTTCATCGGTTGCAGACGGGTGGGGGGGCGCAGGTTGGGCGCGCAGATGGGTGGGGCTGGGGTTGGGGCTGGGGTTGGGGCGGGGGTTCGGGGTGGGGGCAGGGGGTGGGGGGTGTTTCATTTCTTATAGACCCTATATAACCCGATAGAACCCTATCCTAAACCTAATGAACATTTATAAACCCATTTTCTCCTAAATATACGGTTTTATAGGGTATATATAGGCTTTATATGGTTTATAGGGCTTACAAGGTTACGGTCTACAGGATGTCATGATGTGTGTGTGGGGGTGTTTCCTCACTTGCCAGGCTGAGCAAATATGGTGAGGGCTGGATGTATTGGGTCGATACCCGTGTCCACGGAAAGTTGTCGCGACTTCGCTTGCATTATGTAATCCCCAAAACAACGCGCCACGTCTTGAGATGTTCCTTCCCAAGTCCCATCCAAGGAAGATCAAGCGCTCTCTGTACCAGGAAGCAATGGAGTGGGACGAGGAGGACAAAGGGCAGAAGGATGAGGGCCTCACTCCGGGTTTGGACTGGGACATGCTGAACAACTTGCAAGGTGGGGCTGGGGTGGTGTATAGAGTGGCCTGCCCCCCAACAACCCTACCATGCACCTCGCACAGAGGTCCTGGCATGCTTGGCAAAGGGCCAAACGTCGAGCCAGTTGATGAGGTGATCCAGGTGCCTGTTGCGTCAGACGTGGCTGCAAAGCTCGGGTACCCTGAGGTTGAGAAGAACCTTGCACCCTCGGCATGCCTGGGCCCTGCAATGAAAACCTTGCAGAAGCTTATCAAAAGGCTCGAGGCGATTATCGTGACCTTCCCCCAGCCGGTTGCAGGTCAAGCTCAGAAGCCTAGTGAGGCCAAGCTCCCTGCTGGATGTTTGGCTGTTGCGCAAGCTCACTTCCATGGCCTCAGGCAGTGTGTTTGGGAGTAGATGTTTTTTAATTACCATCTGAGGCTGCAGGGGCGCTTGGAGAGCCTGCAACTGAACCTCAACACGGTTGCAGATGAGATGCAAGATCTAGAAATGGGTGGTTTGCTTGATGGCTTCACGCGAAAGAGACTTGCATGTGGAATCTCTAGGGGGGGGGGGGGGGGGGAGGGGGGGGGGGGGGGGGGGGGGGGGGAGGAAAGGGAAAATCCGGCACCCCAGTTTGGGCACCTTAGTTGGGGCACCCAGTTTGGGCCCCCGTTCGAAACCGACCCTAAACCCTAACCCTAACCCTAAACCCTAAACCCTAAAACCCTAAACCCTAAACCCTAAACCCTAAACCCTAAGCCCTAAGCCCTAAGCCCTAAGCCCTAAGCCCTAAGCCCTAAGCCCTAAACCCTAAACCCTATAAACCCTAAACCCTATAAACCCTAAACCCTAAAACCCTAAACCCTAAACCCTTATAAACCCTTATAAACCCTTATAAACCCTATATTCCCTAAACCCTAAACCCTAAACTCTAAACCCTAAACCCTATAAACCCTAAACCCTCTAAACCCTCTAAACCCTAAACCCTATAAACCCTAAGTCTTCCAAGGATGCAAGCTGACATCTCGACGAAGCTCGATGAGGGCCGAAGGAGGCTTACTCAGTTGGGGCTCTGACGTAGGGGGGCTTTATTGGGTGGCTAGGGTTTTGCGTGGAGGTTCGTGGGTACGTGTAAGTAGGGACTATAAGCCCCTATATAACCTTATAAAATTCCTACCTATGATCCTACTTGCAAGTACCTCCAGGCACCTCCGTGCCAGAAGCGATTCAGGCTGGGGTGTAGGATTTTGAGGACAATTGGGGCTCAGGGCTTAGGGTTTGCGAAGCTGTAGAGCCCTTTGAACAATTAGACTACATATGATCCACTGCAACCCAATAAAGGGGTAAAATGCTAACATTGCCCTACGCCCTAAACCCCATAAAGCCTAAACCCTTATAGACCTTATGAATCCTAAACCCTAAACCCTAAACCCTGTATAAACCCTATAAAACCCTAAACCCTATGCCCTAAACCCTATTTCAACCCTACTGAGTAAATCCGAGCCTCTCTTCCGAGCCTCCATCCTCTTGACATAGGCCTTAGGGTCTATAGGGTTTAGGGTTTATAGGGTAAGCCTAATTAAGTCTGACAGGGCTGTGGAAGCCTTCACGTTGCTCGATCGCTGCAAGCCACATGTCTGGAATATGGCCTTATAAACCCTATAAACCTTATAAACCCTATAAACCCTAAACCCTCATAAACCCTAAGCTCGAAACACTAAACCCTATAAACCCTATAATAACCCTATAAACCCTAAACCCTAAGCCCAAACCCTATACTGAGTGAAGCTCTGCTTGATGTCCCTAAACCCTAAACCCTTAAACCCTAAACCCGAAACCCTAAGTCCCAAGCCCTCGGCCCTGAACTCCTAAACCCTTAAACTTTGAACCCTGAGCTCCTAAACCCCTAGCCCTGAAGGGCTTCAGTATGGGCCCAAAAAACACATAAACATAAGGACTCTACAAACATGGATTTCCAGAATCCCCCTTATCCTCTTCACATAGAGCCTCTCTTCCGACCTCTTCACATAGGGCTTATAGGGTTTAGGGCTTGTAGGGTTCAGGGGAAGTGAACCTATCTAAGGTGTGTTTTGCCTTCGCCTGGAAGACAACCGGCTGGTTCCAACCCTGACGGCAAGCCTGCAGGTAAGGCTAAGGCTAAGGCTCCCGCCAAACGGCAGCAGCCCAAACCTGCATCCCAGCCGCCTGCAAAGCGTGGCAAGAAGTAGGGTGTCTTAGGGGCACTGGCCTCTGTGTGTACAAGCACCTAGCCTAGAAAGGGTTTGTGTCACACACACACAATATACATATAGAGAGAGAGGGCAGTTAAACCCTAAACCCTCAACCCTTCATAAACCCTAATAAACCTTATAAACCCTGAACCCTAAACCTTATATAGCCCTATTTATAAACCCTAAACTCTAAACCCTTAACCCTTATGACCCTATGAACCCTTAACCCTGATAAACCCTAAACCCGAAAGCAGAAGAGTTATCCTGATGTGACAGTGGAATTCCCCACACGTCCAGAGGCTAGGCTTGGGCGCAATGATGCACACGCACCGTCTTTTCCTAATTCACAGCGTTGGTGTTGTTCTACACAGCATCATCCCGGTAATTCCTCTGCAAGATCGCAGAAGCTGAGTGTGAAGTTAGCTGCTGGCAGCTGGCAAAAGCCTAGCTCTCAAAAGTGTAGCTCTGTTGAAAGCAGTCTTTGTTGCATTGTTTTCGGGATCTTTACAAGACCTCAGGGCTGTTTCATAACTCTTTCCCCAGGTGGCGCAGCCCGACTGGTGGAATACATGGCTGAGTCAATGGGAGACGGTGTCCGTGACTTGGCAGTCAAGCGGGGGTTCTGCAAGAATCCGTGCGACCAAATTCCTGGCTCACGCGGCCCAGGTCCCAGCAGTGCATGTGGCCCGAACGCTGGCTGCTGCTGAAGGCAGAACAGCTACAGTTTCTGAGGAGGCCCACGCAGATCGTTTCACGAGGGCTCTGTTTCGCAAACATAGCCTATCCCTTCCCATAGAGATAGAAGATGTGGAGCATGAAGTTGTTGAAGGGGTGCTTAAAACCATCACCACCCAACATGTGACCCCAGAAAGTTGGATCAAGTACCTCATGCAAGAGGACCCAAGCTTGATCTGTGGAAACTCTGGGAGCCCTCAGAGCAATTTTCGCGCTTTCTGGACATTCTTCCAGCGGACTCATGCAGAGCATGAAGTCTTTCGCACTGGCAAGGACCTATCTTCAACCATACCCATACTTATCCATGGCGATGAGGGTCGTTCCATCAAAAAAACAGCATATTTGGTCCTATCGTTTGAATCGCCGATCGGCTGCCAGGACCGACGGCTGAAACCATGCCAGTGTGTGGCTGAACTAGCCAAGCTGCCCGGTGTCCCTGAGTATGGTGAGGCCAGCCCGCTTCCCGATGGTGTGGAAGGCCCCAGCAATGAGATGTTTACAAACTACACCGGCCACAGCTACTTGACTCGTCATCTTCTCTTCGGGCTTGGGGGCTGGATTTTTAAGAAAAACCCGCATGTGGTGCAAACACTGCTGGGGGTAATGGCCGACAACTTGCAGAAGCTGTTCCATCAAGGATTGGAGATTGATGGCAAGAGGTACTTCGTAGCAGTGGCAGGGATAAAGGGAGATATGGATTTTCATAGGAAGTATTTTTTCTTAGACCGCAGCTACACGCATGTGGGGTCTCGGAGCTTGGGCTTCATTTGTCACTGCTGCATGGCCTCTTCTGGCGATATGAGCCAGCACCGCTTCGAAGACTTTGCCGAAACGCCTTCGTGGCTGCAAACCATGCACCGTTCCAGACCATGGCCCCCCGACCAAGTCCCGCAGCTTACCCGAATTCCCATGGACACTGCTGCACCGGAACGGGCCCTTCTACATGACCCATTCCACATAGTCAAGCTGGGGCTCGCGCGGGACTTGATTGGGAGCTGCGTTGTAGTCCTTTGCAGAAAGGGATTTTTCGACTACCCTGAGTGCTCCAAGAATTTCCCTGACAGGCTAGCTAGAGCGCACAGCAGCTTTGTCCTTTTCTGCTTGGCTTCGAAGGAGCACCCTACACTGAGGGGTTTCACGAAGACCTTCTTCAACATGACAAGCTTCATGTCCAGCCCTTGGACGAATTCCAAAGGCAGCGACTCCATGATTCTGCTTCGCTACTTGTCATGGTTCTTGCGGCTTCAAATGAAGCATCCTACGGTGCCTGGGCATGGGCTGCTCCTGGACAGAATGTGTCAGACATGCGAAGCATGCCTTGACATGTTTCGGCTCATGCAGCGGCACCGCCTTATCCTCCACAGACCATGCGTCAGATACCTTTATGTCGTGATGATGAGGCTACTGCGCGGTTTTCGTGTTCTCAGCACGCTGGCTGTTTCGATGAGGATGCGGGCTTTTGCTTTGAAACCCAAAGCCCACTCGTTGCACCATGTAGCTCAGTCCCTCCGGTCTGCGCTGCTCGGCGGATGTGCTGGGGCGCTAAACCCACAGTATGCAGCTACCGAAGTCTGCGAAGATTTTATAGGGCGTGTAAGTCGGTTAAGCCGTCGCGTCGACGTTCGCACCGTTGACCGGAGGGTAATCGAGCGGGTTTTCCTGAAAAAACGTGCTCTCATGAAGAAGCGCTGGGAAGCAAAACTCAGCACAGCTTGACGTACTCAATCCCCGTGCTACCGTCGGTTGAAACAATGCACTCCAGTCCCCAAGTTCTTGCTACATGTACCTGTGCTGGGTAGTGCTGCCCTCCGCGCATTTGAGCTACAACCTTCAAGCTGGAAAGCTTGGTAAGGCCTCGAAGTCCTGAGTATACGTAATGTACAGCCCTTTCCCCTACGAAGCCTCCCTCGAAGGCTAAGCAGAAACCCACCCTGAAGTCCATGAACCCCTAAGCAAAACATATCTCAACTCTCCAACCCCCTGAAGCCTCGTAAGTCCCCGAGGTCAAGTGTACAAACCTTAGCTGTACCTCAAAAATGGCCTGTGTCTCACCTGAGCCCCTGGCATGGCTCAGAACGATAGAACGATGGTGAGCAGCCCGGGAAGCCAAACTCAGCACAGATTGACGTACTCAATCCCCGCGCTACCGTCGATTGAAACAATGCACTCCCCAAGTCCCCAAGTTCTTGCTACATGTACCTGTGCTGGGTAGCGCTGCCCCCTCGCGCATTTGAGCCATAACCTTCAAGCTGGAAAGCTTGGTAAGGCCTCGAAGTCCTGAGTATACGTAATGTACAGCCCTTTCCCCTACGAAGCCTACCTCGAAGGCCAAGCAGAAACCCGCCCTGAAGTCCATGAACCCCTAAGCAAAACATATCTCGACTCTCCAACCCCCTGAAGCCTCGTAAGTCCCCGAGGTCAAGTGTATAAACCTTAGCTGTACCTCACAAAAGGCCTGTGTCTCACCTGAGCCCCTGGCATGGCTCAGAACGATGGTGAGCAGCGTGGGCGAGCGTGGCGGCTTTCCTGAAAACACGTTCTCTCATGAAGAAGCGCCGGGAAGCCAAACTCAGCACAGATTGACGTACTCAATCCCCACGCTACCGTCGATTGAAACAATGCACTCCCCAAGTCCCCAAGTTCTTGCTACATGTACCTGTGCTGGGTAGTGCTGCCCCCTCGCGCATTTGAGCCATAACCTTCAAGCTGGAAAGCTTGGTAAGGCCTCGAAGTCCTGAGTATGCGTAATGTACAGCCCTTTCCCCTACGAAGCCTACCTCGAAGGCCAAGCAGAAACCCGCCCTGAAGTCCATGAACCCCTAAGCAAAACATATCTCAACTCTCCAACCCCCTGAAGCCTCGTAAGTCCCCGAGGTCAAGTGTATAAACCTTATATAGCTGTACCTCACAAAAGGCCTGTGTCTCACCTGAGCCCCTGGCATGGCTGAGAACGATGGTGAGCAGCGTGGGCGAGCGTGGCAGAACAGGGAGGTTTATGTGCAGGGCTGTTTCGGTTTAGGGCTTATAAGGGTCAAGGGTTTAGGGTTTATAGGGTTTATAAGGGTTAAGGGGTTTAGGGTTTAGGTTTCGTCTAACTTGGCTTGCAAAGGTTATATAATGGCCAAGAAGGATGTTGGGGTGTGTTCACAGCCCATTAGGGTTTTCATAGACCCTTTCGAGGGTTTTGCACCCCCGTTTCTTGGTTTGAGCAGAGTTCAACAGGCAATCAACCCAAAACACCAACAGGCGGAATATTCGCCTGCAGGCGTAAAGAACCGGCACGGGCAAAAAATGTGCCTGTCCAGGTGGCGGGCGCTATTTTGAGCCCGAGGGTTTTGCAGGTAAAGCCTATAAACCCTAAACCCTGAATCCTAAACCCTAAACCCTAAACCCTAAACCCTAAACCCTAAACCCTACACCCTTTGCACCCTAAACCCCCCTAAACTCCCTGAACCGCGCGGAGACGAGGCCTTCCGCCCCACAGCCCGAACCCTGACTCGGAGCCTGCGACCCCACCATCAGCCCCAAGAGCAAGGGTTTAGGGTTTAGGGTTTAGGGTTTAGGGTTTAGGGTTTAGGGTTTAGGGTTTAGGGTTTAGGGTAGGGCTTTAGGCACAAGGCACCCAAACCCTGAACCCTGAACCCTACAACGCCCTGAGCACTCCCATGGCCTGAAACCCTAGACACGAAACCAAAAATTTCAATCCAAAGGCTCTGAGCCCATGTCCACAAACCCGAGAAGACTAAGCGCAAAAATCCGAAATCAAATCCTCAACCCTTCAACCCCCTCTGAGGGTTCAGGGTTTAGGGTTTAGGGCTTAGGGCTCAGGGCTCAGGGCTCAGGGTTTAGGGTTTAGGGCTTAGGGCTTAGGGCTTAGGGTTTAGGGTTTAGGGTCCCTCAACCCTGGCGCCTTCTCCATCTTGCCGGCCCGGGCGCACGCCGCGGTGAAGAGACGCAGGGTGCGCTGGTCAACCTGACCACCGGCGCCTCAGCCGTGGACAGGCTTCGGGTTTCAGGGTTTGGGGTTTACGGTTTAGGGTTTAGGGTTTAGGGCTCGGGGTTGAGCGACTTCGGGTTTGCGCTGCTTGGCAACTAAGGGCTTCATTCGGAAAGGGTCGGGCTGACACTTCGGGCTTAGGGTTCGGCCGGCACCCAAGCCAGGACCTCAAACGCTAGGAGTCCGAAAGCCCGAAAAAGCCCCGACCAGCCCCGACAAACCCAAAACCCAAAACCCTAAACCCTAATAAACCCCAATAAACCCTAAGAAACCCTAATAAACCCTAATAAACCATAAGCCCTAAACCCTAAACCCTTCATCCCGAAACCCCTGCCAGCTGGGATTCCCAACGCCGCACGGCCTCGATACAGCTACCGGAGCCCTTGACATCCTCGCTTGCGAGTTTAGGGTTTAGGGTTTAGGGTTTAGGGTTTAGGGTTTAGGGTTTAGGGGCTTAGGGGCTTAGGGGCTTAGGGGCTTAGGGTTTAGGGTTTAGGGTTTAGGGTTTAGGGTTTAGGTCCCTGTTTAAGAGAGCCAGGAGAGGGTTGAGAAGGGTTCCCGTCTAAGGGTCCCCCTAATCCTTCCTAGGAGCTTGCGCACTTTGGGCACTTGACGGATTTAGGCTTTAGGGTTTAGGGGTTTAGGGCTTGGGGTTGTGGGTTCAAGGTTTTAGTGTTCCGGGCTTGCGGGTTGGGGGTTTAGGCTTTGGAGGTTGAGGGTTTAGTGTAGGGGTTTAGGGTCGGGAATGTGAGGTTTTTGGAGGCTTTGGGTTTGGGGGTTCGGGGGGGTAAGGTTTGGAGGCTTAGGGTTTAGGCCTTGGGGTTTAAGGGGGTTTAGGGCTTCGGGGTTTAGGTGGGTTGAAGGGTGCAGGGCTTGGGGTTCCGGGCTCCGGGGAGTCGATGTGCGCAGGGGTCTGGAGTCCTCTTATGGGCTCATCATATGTAGGGTTTAGGGTTTAAGGTTTATGGTTTAGGGTTACTTTATGCTAACCTTATGAGAACCTATGAACAAGTTGCAGGAAACCAGCTTCGATCGAACCTGTGAAACTGCTTGAACCTGCACATACTTTTACGAACTTGAAACAGGGCTACTCCCATACAAACTAAGTAAGTTCGTTGATGCCATGCGCATCTTCAGCTGGTCTGTGGACATCATTGCTAAACGCCAAAACCCTAAAACCTAGCCCTAAACCTTAAGCCCGAAACCCTAAACCTTAAGCCCTAAACCCTCAACCCTTTAAAAACCCTAAACACTAAACCCTGAAACTAAGGAGCCTTGGGTTTCGGGTGGACGCTTCAAGGAATCCCCGAACATCCGGACCAACCCGCCGCACCCTGCTGGGTTTTAGGGCTTAGGGTTTAGGGTTTGGGGTTTGGGGTTTAGGGTCCCGATTCCCGATGTCATGCCAGTCCTGGCGACGGGCCCTTTCCCGTGCCAGGGCCAGGTGGAAAAGCCTGAGCTGCTGGAGTCAGCTTAGGCGCAGGCCCCTGGGCCTTAGGACCCAGGGTTTAGGGTTTAGGCCCTCAACCCTACAAACCCTAAACCCCTAAACCCTAAGCTGACCTGAAGAGCCCGGAGCCTCTCAGGGTTTAGGGTATAGGGTACTGCAATCCCCTCTGCTTCCCTCGAGATGCCCCTTGTTCTACGCTGAATTGCCCTTAAGGATTGCGGGTTCGGGTGGCGGGAAGATTAAAAAGGAAACCTCCATGGACTTCATGTCATATAGTCAGGCCGATCGGAGTCAAACAAGGATGCTCGCTCCTAGTTAAGCCCTGATATCCGTTCCACCGGCACCACCCCGCCGCGCCAAACCATGGCCTCCTAAACCTTAAGGCCCCCTAAATCCCTGAACCCTGAACCCTGAACCCTGAACCCTAGACCCTAACCCGAAAACCCCAAATCCCTGTATGCCCATGTCCCTACTTGAGGGTTCACGGGTAGTTGCAAGTAGCGGTCCGAATACAGGCTACCTTACTTCCAGCCCTACTGTATTACCTTCAAGTATCCCTAAGCCCTAAACACTAAATCCATAAACCCCAAACCCCAAACCCTAAACCCCAAAACCCTAAACCCCAAACCCCAAACCCTATATAAAGCCTAAAGCCCAAACCCAAAACCAAAAACCCTAAATATCCCTAAACCCTAAAACCTAAATCCCTAAACCCTAACCGGAATGGTAAATAAGTACCATGAACCTCCAAGTATCCCTAAACCCTAAACCTTCAAGTAGCCCTAAACCCTGAACCCTAAACCCTAAACCCTAAACCCTGAACCCTGAACCCTGAACCCTAAACCCCTAAACCCCTAACACTAGATCTCTAAACTCCTGGCCAGGCGGCTGCCCAGGAACATCCAGATGGCCTTGCAATCATGGCCGAGTCCCGGGCTTGGGGTTTAGGGTTTAGGGTTTAGGGTTTAGGGTTTAGGGTTTAGGGTTTAGGGTTTAGGGTTTAGGGTTTAGGGTTTAGGGTTTAGGGTGTAGGGCTTAGGGCTTAGGGTTTAGGGCTTAGGGTTTAGGGTTGAGGTCTTAGGGATTAGGGCTTAGGGTTTAGGGTTTAGCGACCGTCAAAACTCTAGATGTCGGGCCTAGGTCGCGCCACAGGGGGTGTGCCCCGTCGCTTGCAAGGGTTTAAGGGGCGTCGCCTTTCGCTTTCTGGTGTTCCCCCCTGTCGCTTACAGCGTTTTTGACACTTCAGCATGCAAATGTCCTACCAAGATA